ACAAAAACAAAAACAAAAAAAAAAAAAAAAAAGACTGGAATTGTGTTTAAAGCAAAATGAATGGATCATATTTTTAAACATTCAGACCTTAGAATGAGAGACTCCACCTCTCCTCTTCATGTTCTCTTAAAGTTCAGTGACCTCGCTGTGCAGTATCTTTCTTCATACATCAGACGTCCCACAAAGAAAATAGGTCTGTTTAAATTTGTTTACAGTCAGACAATGAACACAGAAAGTTCGTTAATTTCCTTTTATTTAAATGAAAACTGAATGGAAATCAAAATAACATCATCGATCGCAAAGCCTGTAAGAGTAAGATTAAAAGGAATAAAATGCAATATTTACGCCGATGGAGTAAACCAATTAGTTTTAATTTTATCATCAAAGAAACCATGGAAACAATATTGAGGTCTGAAGGAAGCCTTGCACAAAAAGCATGTGGATTGGACTATATATTAGCTGAAGCAATAAACTGCATCATAAATTATACACTATATTAAGCGGATCAGTAAATTAAAGCACTTGCAAAACGCATTAGCTGAATAAACAAATTGAAGCAGGGTACGGTAAATTTATAGACGAACTTTACGAGAAATTGCGCGTCATATCTGCCGGATGAGTAAACTGAGGTGCGAGTATATTAACTGAATTTGAAAACCGGATCAAAAACTGTATGGTATATAATAGGCGTATCCCAAAACTTATACTAAAGTAAATCATCAATATCATTTTGGATACAAAACAATATTTCAATCCAATTTATTTATTTTATGAAATTTTATACTTTTGTGGGGTAGATGAAAGTGAAATACTTATGATACAAAGGAGGTAAAAAATCAGTAAATTTAAAAAAAAAAAAAAAAAAAAACTGAATAAGAATACTAATGAAAAAGGTAAACGAAACTAATATATCAAAAATATAAGAGGATTTGTTGAATATATAAATATAAGCTGTTACACAATGTACAAAAATGGATATGACAAATGTAATAAAATTACCGCAAATTGCCGATTTATGCAAGAAGCAAATAGTTAAACATCGTTTTCGAGTATAAATTTAAAATATTATTCAATACATTTAATTCTAAACTAAATTCAGTTTGAAAACTAATAAAAACTGATTACACTATATACTAATTTTAGGCGTACCTAGGAGGTATTTGTTGCTAAGGCGTATTTTCATCACAAAAAAAAAAGTTAATATTCTACCATTCGATGATTACTAACAATAAATCGAACATACATGCATTGTTTATATAAGCAAATTATTATTCCCTAGTTGAGATAATTTTACAGTTATTTATAAATTCCATAATTATTTTTAAGGAAAAATAATTGCAATAAATAATAGACATTTTTTAACATGAATTAATGTTTTTGAATGCTCAGTGTTTGAAATAAATATAATTTCATTTAGTGAATCTTCAGCTGCCCGTTCTATCTTTTCACAAAATTTCTGCTTTTTTTTAAATGTTATTTATTACCATTTATCGAAGCATACATAGCCACCTGAAATTCATAAGTGATATCTATAAAAATAATATATGTGGGCGTATCTAATAAAAGCTGGTGTTAAATTTTGAATGATGTGATTCATATGTATCTTTGCTTTTACCGAATAATCCTGATTTCAGTTCATGGCTACCTAAATGCTTATATCTTTCAGTAATTTAGCTTTAACACCCCCCCCCAATCATAAAATAAAATAATTTCCTTTAGAAGCCTTTCATGAACCATCTTTACTTACTCCGTAACCTTTGAAGCCCTCGTATAATTACTTAACATAACTTATTCTAAGATTATACTCATTAATTATGATCAAAAGTATACTAGTATTCAAGAATTTCTATATTTTCGACTGCTTATATCTCTAAAATAACCGTGATTAATAATCGTGATTTTTAGGTGCATCACTTTAATGCACTACTGTAAAAACACGACATAGTATTATGTTAATAAAAATTACACATGAAATTAGGTCATTATGGATTTTTGTTCATCACAGTTCAGCCTCATTACATGCCTCATCCATAGTCACTGCAGTTAATTTCGATTGCAATTCTATTTCTTACATTCTAAAAATATGTTCCACAGTCTTGATACATGCATTACCAAAGTTTCAAAATATGTCTTCATTGTGTTATACAAGTTATGCAATCCACAGCAGAACAGTAATATGTCACGGGATTAAGACGAATTCACGAGTATCACTAAATCAGAGGAGCACTTACAGAAATAAATTAATTGAATTTTATAGATTATAAAATGTAAATGATGATAAATATTAAAAAATATAAATTTTTCATAAAAATTTAAAGTTTATGCAAATGTATTATTTCTATTATACAAGGTATTTAAGAAGTAGTAGTGGTATTACAGAATACAGGTAGTGGTATTTCAGAAGTGATATTACACACCGAAACAATCATTTGTTGTCACAGAATGCTTTGCGAATGAAATATAAAAGCGCTAGACTCCACTTTGTCAATAAGCAGCAGCTTCGGGAATATAATCGCACTGCAATTTTAACTTCTGAGGCGATAAATCAGTATATAATTGGCGGTGAAAACTGATCTGTACTTCCCGTTTTGACAGGAAAGATACCACACTGCAGCAATCTTGCCAGAATTGCTATAGGATGTTCCAGTGGCCATTCCGCTGCACATGCCCCAATTCCTGTATTAATAGAGTATCAGTCCACTTTTATGTTTGCTTAATAGCAAGGTTTCAGTGATCGGCCGATCTATCTGCCTCGATTGCTCTATATGGCGACATCTCAATAACCTCGTCTACAAGATTTCCCTTGAAGTTGATGGAAAATTTAGGACACTTTCGGTCGGTGCTGCAGTTGTGTGCGGTTCGTCTGATATATTCAAGAGAGTCCATCAGTCCTTCAATCGCCTTTGTGTATTAATGGTTACTCGTTCAAGCTGTAATCGTGATTAAAAATTCTTTTCTTCTTCTGTGAAATTCCAGTGTTTGTACATTACCTCCTTTCACTATTAGGCACTTTGGTAGCATCTTTAGGTTTCATTTTCAAGCAATCTGTGATAAAATGATTATTTTGGTTGCTATACCAACTCTTGAAGTTTAAGTTTAAGAGTTTAAAAGCATTAAAAGATCCAACTATCAGATTTTTTTTTTTTTTTACTTAAGTTTTTGCTGTTATGTAACTTAAGTTTGTGACGCCTTTTTTAAAACACCTTACACATTCAAAAGCAAATGGCAAGCAATTTGCTTTTCTTGCTTATAAAAATGTTTAATACTGAATAGAATAACAGAATAGAATTTCGTTTCATATACAGTGAAAACTCAGTTCATGAATTTAATTTGTTCTTAAAGGTTGTTGTTCGTCAACTGGATTTACCCCATGAGAAGTGACATAAAATTGATTAATTCGTCCCTGAATCGCAGATGATTGCTTATTTAAACTCCATAGTAGTACTTTGAGCATAAGTTAATAACCCCAAATCGACGGAAATATATAAGAAACCTTTAAAAAGGAATTTTCAATAATTTTTATATTAATTTTATCATGTTATATTAATTATATTATTATCTCTTAATTATTTGTTACATACATATATACATACAATCAACAGAATTCAGGTAAATAATTAGTAATCAGTAATCTCAATTTCAAATTTCCGTTATTACCACCAACACAAAGATAAACACGACTTAAACCGATAAAATAGACGGAAACATAATTTAATTTTACTATGCCTGTATAAAAGGCGATGGCGTAAGTGGAAAATGATGAGGATAGTAATCACCGTAGTATCGTTACGTGAAAATTTTGCAACTAACTTCATTTTGCACAATAACGCAGATCGCAGAGTTAAGATCATTTTTCTATATTCTTTTTCTTCTGAAGACATTTCTTCCACTATTGACTTTTGTTGCTGCTTCTGAAATTATAGGTCTTTCTTGATGAGCTCATTTTTGTGGTTCTCCAGAAACTTCTCTATGTCTTTATTATCCGTGGTTTTGCCTAAAGACACAATATTACAGATAATAAATAAACAAACAAAACGTCTAAGCTTCAAAGTGGTCGAAATCTCTCTCTTCACCCAATCTGTCCATAATTTCCTCCAGGCCGAAGTCGTGGTCCTGTAATTAATTGCCAGATTTTGTTAATGAGAATTAATCACCAGAAAATATTAACATGTTGTTTCTAGAAAGCCTGAGTGTTAATTATGTGTAACATATGTTATCGCAAAACACTTGTGAAAATCATATGTTGCTTGACTTGAGAGTTCGTAACTCCAGATAACGTTCGTCAACCGAAGCGTTTTGGGTTCAGATAATTTGTTCGTGAAGTGAATAGTTTGTGATCCAAGGTTCCACTGTATGGGTATTAAGCATCACTTCGAAATTAGAATAAGACTTCGAAAATTCAGTCAAAATTGGAATATATTAATAATTATCCCGTATGTAAACGGCGGACATTCTCAGCGGATTTTGATACGTCAATCTAAGTACCTTGAAGTCACAAACTTGTGCAAATGCTTTCAATCCTCCAGGTATTGCTGGAAGAGCTACCTATATTCTTCATCACTAATCACTAGTGCTTAGTTTAAGTAATCGGAGATTAATCTTATAATATCACAATTAACGCTTGAACGAAGAATACTAAAAATTTTTTCTTTACACCAAATCAAAAATTCTTAGTATCACATTTTTTTAAGAAAAGCAATATATACTTACGAAGGAAAAAATAATTTAAATCTATATATTCTGAATCGTTCAAATAAAATTTAAGTGGATAAAAAACTTACACTTCCTAAAAATGTTTACTTGGCTTCGCTTAAGGAAGAATATAAAGATATAAAAAATTATAATCGAGTGACTCAAAAAGTGATAGGCATTTTAGTGATTAGAAAAATGCATTTTTACAGCACATCAATATTAAATCTTTAATATACTTGAACAATGTAATTGAATATTGATTTCGAATTGATCATATATATATATATATATATATATAAAGGCTTTACCTGAATTGTATGTGGACCCCAGTGCTGCAGTCTGAAAGCTATTATGTGAGATTTTCCATTCTAATGTTGTTTCGGAAGAGCAGGGAGTGACAGTCACGGATATGGGACGATAGCCTCCTTCCAGTAGAAAAAACAATCTGCGGAATGAATAATACATAACCTTTTAAAATATTCAACCGAAAATTTCAGCGAACATTTCAGTGCAAAATTGCATTTGTGATGTAAATTATATGTCTTAGCATCTCAACATAACAACTGCATCCAATACGCACTTGCTTATGTATGTCACAAATAAAGAAAGCCACAAAAATCCGTGAAATCGGATATAACAGAAATAAACATTTTTTTTTTAAAGTCTGAAATATAGTAAAAGATTTTTTCCAGTCTACGGAACCATACGAATTCTATAACGTATACATATTGTTTAAATTTATCAATATTTTAACGGTCGTTAATAACTTTAAATAGCATATTAGGATACACAATATAGCAGATTTTAAAGGAACCGATACATATCTAAAATTAACTTAAGTGTCTGTTACTAATTCTGGAATTAATCGAACTGTACAAAGAAGAATCAGGTTGGTCCCAACATGAAAAAAGTTAAAGTTGAAAGTTATTCCATTTAGCATTCACAATATACTTTTCATCACTTTTGTCTCTACGCCGCCTTGAGAGGCGGAAAAGGTATGGATGCTTGTAACGGTGTAGTTACAGTATCTGTGCGACATGAGGAAAGGCATTTCAAATAGTGGCCAGCCGAAAGCCCCCTTGAGAGGCTTGATGGTAGGAGATAAAGAGTAGGAGGTGCTTGGATGAATCCTTCAAGGTGTTCTCCATCAAAGCTGAGATGGAACTTCCACGTTCTAGAGGGTGTGAAACTGGTTGCCCCTGTGGCATGTCTTGAGCGATGTTATCGGTGATGAGAAGGATAAATGATAATGACCAATAGATACTGACCAGTCCCGATGAATGCATTAAGTTGCAAGTATCCAGTCTTTTAAAACCACAGTTGTCACTTCATTGCACTTTCGATTTAATACATTTTTCATGTGACATGCAATTGTTATGCTTACAGAATGGCTTCATAACAATGCCCATACCTACAAAAGCGAACACTCAACATTGTTCAGCACTACTTAACACTGCTTAGCAGTGTTCAGCACTATCTTCATTTCATATGTTATCCATTAGCTCAAAAGTTGTAAAGGACTTATACCAATGCTGATACAATTTCGTTTCGCAGTCTACGATTACAGTTCAAAGGTCTACTTTGATTCAGGATTTTTAAATGGTGGGCACTAGCATTTTTAGGCTTTCGTCATTTTGTTATGGATGTACCTAATAGGCGGAAACCGTTACATCCTATGAAGGGACAGACAGTACACTACGGAGGAGGGACTCCCAGACCTAGGCTTAAGATACCCTCATACAGTTATAATGCCCCAAAACCCTCTATCAAAGAAGGCATAACCCCTCAGTCAACGCAGGGGGACAATTTTATGCACACAGTCTCGGAATAAGTAGCAAAAGTCAATGGCGACCGGCAAGCAGTCACCAAGAAAGAGAACATAGATATGTCGTAGACCGTCCTCCAGTGCTGGCCAAAGGGAGCCAGACTTCCAAAGGTAATCTCCGATGTGTAACCATGTAACGTCCCCACAACCAAGAACCAGACAAGATAGTACCAGTACGGTTCCTGCCGAGCTTGAATCTACCTCTGAATAAACGATGGTTCAATAATCACTGTGAAAACTGCGACTTCTATAATCAGTTATCGTAACTGAGGAGACTGATTATTTACCACAGAAGTCGAGTCTGTCTAGGTACAGGTCCTAGCCAAAACGCAGAAAGTTGCCCCCAGTCGATCCCTGGGGGGTAATAAAGGGACAGACAAATTTACATCTATGCCTACTCCGGAATTTGAATCCGGGCCCTTCGGTACGGCACCCAGAGTCACTAACCACTTTTCTGTCTACGTATCCTGTTCCTTTGCCAAAATCATAACATATCTTAATTATTTTACCGTATACTTAGTCGATTTTGTCTATGTTATTTGCTGTCTCTGTCTATGTTGTTTATTAAATTTTATCTATGTTCTTGGAGTTTCAGACTTCTAATCAAGCGCCAGGTCAAGAATTCGTCCGAAACGCAGAGCGTTTAAACAATACTTAATTAAGTTTAAACTTACACATGCTGTATTATTGAATTATTTAAAATAGAGCAAAACATGCAAGGCTATCTGCCTGAGAAGAAGGATGATTTCGTGGAGGACTTTTTAAGGAAAACTGACTCATACTCATTTTACATATGAGAAAAACCAAGAACATTCCCATGCAGCCAGCCGTTTCGTTAAGATATGAATCCTGGTCGAGATATTAGTATTTAGCGATCTTACCGCTCGGCCGTTGATAGGCTACCCATAGTAGAAGACTTTTTATAACTTTGCTTCGTAATTTACCCCCTAAATAGATCTCAATTTAACTAATTACTTAAGAAGAATACTTTGCAAGTTTGACTGTACGATAAAATTTGCATAATATTAAGAAAAAGTTTAGAGGGGAATGAACTGTTTTTTATTTTGGTTCCTCCACCTCTTACCATTTTATTAGATTAAAAAATCTGATGTGTACACCACATGACTTCCTTGTACGGAATATTAAATTATACGCATTTTTCTTGCATTTTATTTAAACTTATTGGATTGAATTAAAACTAATTCGCCGACAGCGCATAAACCACAGTAGAATAAATGCATTCTTTAAAATTCACTTTGTTTACCATAGCGACACTCTGGCGCTAGGTTTACTTAACAGTATTATATTTCATTCATATTATAACTCAGAATGCACAAAATGTATATCACTTAAAGAATTATCTAATCGTTGCCACATGTTCTATTCAAATACTATAATAAAGCTAGAACTATGTATAAAAGATATTAAGCAAACAAAACAAAAAAGAAGAGTTTTCCACAGACGATTGAGTATTTCTCATTTAATTAATTCAGTTCTCACTTCGCGAGAAGGCAAAAATACATAAAAACTCAAAATATCTATATTAAAAATTACGAAGTAAATCTTAAACACTTATTTCCTCGAAAATAAAATCATGTTTAATTCTTTCTGGAATTTTTACGAAAATTCCAGAAAGAATTAAGCATGATTTAATTGGCAATAATAAATGAATGCGTTATCTTTGTTGTTGCGAAGCTAAGTTTCTCTAGATTGGCAACAAATCCACTAGTCTCCTGTTTCAAATGTAAACATCAATGGCCGCCATTAAAAACAAGCTTAGCGGCAATTAAACAACTTTAAAATTGCTGATAATTCTAAAAATATTGCACACAGGTTTACTAAAGGCATAAAATCCTTAACCGGAAGATAAAAACAACATAATTCAATCATTTAAGCAAAAAATGTACAATTTACAAACATATAAGAGTAAAGAAACTGAGATCACTGAGCCGGGTAATAGAGTGGATATATATCGGGTGATCAAAAAGTCAGTATAAATTTGAAAACTTAATAAATCACGGAATAATGTAGATAGAGAGGTAAAATTGACACACATACTTAGAATGACATGGGGTTTTATTAGAACCAAAAGAAAAGTTATTGTTATCGGTTCTTTTTTCTTCGAGAAAATGCGTGATTCTGGTTTTGTAACTGCTACCGTGACGGGTGAGTGGTACACCGATATGTTACAGAATCGCATCGTCCCCAGCCTGGCTGATAAACACCTGCTGGAATGTAGTATGATTTTTATGCAGGATGGCGCTCCACCCCATATTGCTAGACGCGTGAAAGATCTCTTGCGCGCGTCGTTTGGTGATGATCGTGTGCTCAGCCGCCACTTTCGTCCTGCTTGGCCTCCCAGGTCCCCAGACCTCAGTCCGTGCGATTATTAGCTTTGGGGTTACCTGAAGTCGCAAGTGTATCGTGATCGACCGACATCTCTAGGGATGCTGAAAGACAACATCCGACCCCAATGCCTCACCATAACTCCGGACATGCTTTACAGTGCTGTTCACAACATTATTCCTCGACTACATCTATTGTTGAGGAATGATGGTGAATATATTGAGCATTTCCTGTAAAGAACATCATCTTTGCTTTTTCTTAATTTTGTTATGCTAATTATTGCTTTTCTGATCAAATTATTGCTTTTCTAATAAAACCCCATGTCATTCTAAGTATGTGAGTCAATTTTTACCTCTCTATCTACATTATTCCGTGATTTATTAAGTTTTCAAATTTATACTGACTTTTTAATCACCCGGTATATAAATATATTTATATAGGTTTGGTGCGGCCGATTGCAACCGAAATACGAGGTACACATCTACATGTTATAGCAGTCCTATATACAAAATTTCAATGTTCTGAGGCTACTCGTTTTTGAGTTATGCGAGATACGTACGTACGCACGTACGTACATGCGTTCGTACAGACGCCACGAAAAATTCTCTTCAGAATTAATTTTAAAGCAGTTTTATAATTTTTTTGAAGGAAAAGAGTATTTTATTCTGTCCTTACGTACAGATATCACGCAAAAACATCGTTAAATTGCATTCGATAGCGGTCAAAATGGATATTTTCGTTGAAATATGCTGCCTGAAATTTTTCGCGATTACAATACTTCCTTTTTACTTCGTACAAGGAAGTAAAAAAGATAAGGCGATAATTGAAAATGATAAGTTTCTAACCCAATTTTTTTCTGTTGTATAAGACTGAATATTTGCTTATAAAGCATAATTTTTCCATTTGTATTGACCTGAATTCTATTAAAAATGCATTTTATATTAATCTTTCGTTATCAGTGCATGTATTCTTCCATTTATGAGAGATAACTGGCCACTCTTAGACAGAAGTATTCCTTTTGAGAGACAATTTTTTTTCCCCTTCATACTTCCAGCCGCCAGAGAAGAGGGTAGAAAAGGAACTGCGGCAAACAAAACGTTACAAATACTTTCTTTGAAATCTTCTTCATCGAAGTAAGTTAAACAATGCGTGGTATGGCGATGACCTCTGCTGAAAATATCAAGGTCAAGTTCGCCGATGGGGAAGATTCAGTTAATTGCTTAGTGGGAGTCAGTTTGCGTGATGAGGGTTACTCAGAAATTGGCCTCGACAGC